AGGGTCCTTCTTCCACAGCCTACCAATCTAAGGTAGCCTGTCTCTACTGACCACCAGTGTAAGGGGCATTCTTCCCACTGACCACCAATGTAAGGAGTACGCTTCCCCCTAACCACCAATGTGAGGGGCATTCTTCCCACTGACCATCAATGTAAGGAGTGCGCTTCCCCCTAACCACCACCAATGTGAGGGGCATTCTTCCCACTGACCATCAATGTAAGGAGTGCGCTTCCCCCTAACCACCAATGTGAGGGGCATTCTTCCCACTGACCATCAATGTAAGGAGTGTGCTTCCCCCTAACCACCAATGTGAGGGGCATTTTTCCCACTAACCATCAATGTAAGGAGTGTGCTTTCCCCTGACCACCAATGTCCATAACCGGGTCCCAGCTGGAGATTCCCTGCCAGAACCCGGCTATCGCCGAGGAACAGTGAAAGGGGAGAGGTCTGTAGGTTAACAGCACAGATCTCTCCCCTGTCAGCACCGACATGCTGCTATAGCAGAGCAATACAAAACAGCATATTTTCCCAGTAAAATACACACAACACACTGTTAACCCTTTGATTGCCCCAGATGTTAACCCCTTCCTGCCCAGTGTCATTAGTACAGTGTCAGTGCTTTTTATTAGCACTGATCGCTGTACTAGTGTCACTGGGGATGTCAGTGGCAGTTAGTCAGTTCCCACCCAGTGTCAGAATGCCCGCCACAGTCCCGCAGTCCTGCTATAAGTCGCTGATTGCCACCATTACTAGTAAAAAAAAAAATCCAGTATATATACCATTTGTAGACTCTATAACTGTCATGTAAACCAATTAATGTACACGTATTGTGATTTTTTTTTTAGCAAAAACATGGAGCAGGATGCATTTTGGCCTACATTTATGATGAAAGTTGATTTTTTTTACATTTCTTTACTGGATATGTTTTATAGCAAAGTCAAAAATATATATTTTTTTCTCAAAATTGTTGGTCTTTAAAAACCGCAGAGGCGATCAAATACCACTGAAAGAAAGCTCTATTTGTGGGAAAAAAGGACATAAATTTAATTGCGGTGCAGCGTTGCATGACCGCTCAATTGTCAGTTAAATTAATGCTGTGCCATATCGCAAAAAATGGCCTGGTCAGGGGGGGGGGGGGGGGGGGGGTAAATCCTCTGGAGGGCAAGTGGTTAACTAAAAAAAATACCTTCCATAACTCTCTCAGCCTCCTCCAAATTTTTTTCGTTGCTGACTTCCTTTTAGAGGGTGGCCATTCTTCATGGTTCCACTGTATGTAGGATTTAGTCACCCTCTCTTGCTTGGTTCGATTATGCACTATGGATTTGTAATTTGCATAGAGCAGTGCACACCACGAAACAACCACGAGTTAAATAGTGGATGTGTATGGATTATTTTTGGAGAATGAGCATATCATTTAGTATCACTTTAATTTATGATAATTGGGAACATATAATGCTAAGTGCTAAGAACACAGTACAAAACAATAAAAAAAACCCACGCTACTCCTAATTTACTAACACTAGAAACAGTAAAACTAATAGACATAAGAGCAGCTACTACTAAAATGTTTAGTCACATCATATCAATCAGAACTAAAATGCTATACAGTAAAGTGCTCACTCAAAATGAGAACAAAAAATGCAAATAAGCAAAAAACAGCATGCTGGCAATGAACAAATACGAGAAAGATCAATACTTTCAACTGCAAATAAATCCAATTAATGTAATATATTAAATTGCATAAATAAGTTTCCTTTATCATAAAGGCATTGAGAAAGTCCCAGCAGGTAACATCCAATTCACAGCATACTCCCATGTTCACAAAAAATCTTCACCATAAACACAGTGGATTCACTATCACCATGAACACGTATGGGTGAACTCCCAAATCCTATGATGGAACTCACTTTTAGAAAAAAGAGTCTACTATCGTCTTAAGAGCTAAGGGTCCATGACACCCCGGTCGCACTGGGTGCGAATTGGCATGCGATTTGCATACGATCCAACTTGCTAATCATATGCCAAGTCGCACCCTATTGTCTGCAATTACAGCAGTCAAATCGGTATGGTTCCAACTTGGTCGGAGCCGCACCGATTTCTGAAGTAGTACATGCACTACTTTTCGTGCGATTTGCATAGACATCTGTGTCAAATGTCTTGAAAATCTCACCTGAAATTGGCATGTTCCCCGACTTTGAAATAGTGCGACTTCACTGTAAGTCGCACGATTGCAAAGTCGGGCTTGATGTGACCGGGGTGTGAATCTATTAATCTAACATTAACTATTCACTTCAGACACTCAGAATGACAGGTATGAACAAAATGGAAACTTTATAGTGCAGACTACTGAAGGAGTAACAGAGACACCTTTGGACAGCAGCATTGTCAGTTTGGGAAGAAGGTAGTGTTAGATGCAATAGCAGATTTAGACAGACCTGACTAACAAATTCAAGTTGAACTCCAGCTAATCCTTTTTAGGCTTTTACAGCAATAGATTTGTTTTTAACCTTTAAGATAATTGTTTTACATAAATTAACAAAAGCCCTGTCAGTGTTAAATTGTTTGTCTCAACCCTCTAACTGCTACTTCTTGCTAGACAGCTTGGTCTGGTAAAGGCATTACTACCTGCACCTTCTGCTTTTCACTTGCATAAGCTATGAATTGTTCATGTACTTTCATGGTGTCACTTCATGGTGTCATTTGTTCCTCTGTCTGTATTTTAAGAACTGACACTTCCTGTGAAGAAACTACATATCCCAGAGGAAATCTAAATTCTGGACAAGGAGGTTTACTAGCCAGTAGCATCTGTATGAGCAATCAAGATAAGAAATACAAATGTTTGGAATTTTAGTGTTTTATTTGTTGTCTGTGTCTTCCTGTGCCAGTGACATCTACTGCCCCATTTTCCTTTCTTGATTTAACAAAGGCAGATAGTAAGGGTGAACCTCCCCAATGGGCTCACAGTTAGAAAGAAAAATAATGGAAATTTTACTATTCTTACTAAATTTTAGTAAAAAAAGTTTTAAAGCGTGGTTGTAAAGGCTCTTGGTATTTTACCTTCATGCATCCTGTGCATGAAGGTAAAAAACCTTTTGTGTGTAGCAGCCCCCCCTAACACTTACCTGAGCCCCATCTTGATCCAGCAATGTCCACGAGAGCCTCGGTTCTCCAGGGACTCGCACTCCTAACTGGCTGAGGAAGCCATTGGCTCCCGCTGCTGTCAATCACAGTCATTGAGCCAATCAGGAGAGGGAGGGGTGGGGCGGGGCTGCAGCCCTGTGTGTGAATGGACATGTAAAGCCACGGCTCAGGAGTGTGCCTGCTTGGGTGCCCCCATAGCAAGCTGCTTGCTGTGGGAGCACCTGATGAGAGGGAGGGGCCAGGAGCGCCGGTAGGAGACTCGAGAAGAGGAGGATCTGGGCTGCTCGGCGCAAAACCACTGCACACAGCAGGTAAGTATAACATGTTTGTTATTTAAAAAAAACAAAAAGAAGACTTTAGTATCACTTTAAGTCTGTATTCATCAATACATCCTTATATGTATTTTTTTCTGTAATGCAAGCAGCACAAGCACCTGAATTTGACTTGGTATCAGTATCTTGAAATCTCTACATCAGAGCTCAAACTGGGAGAAGGAGAAGCAGCACAGGGAGCCAATCAGTTGTGCTGCAGTGCAAGGAACATGCTGATAGGAGGAGAGATCAGAGTGACAGAGATGATCGATCCTGCTAGTTATCCTTTCACAAGTGCGAGGAGACCTGTAAGTATAACTTAACTGCAGCAGATCTCCTGTCCTGCCAGGCAAAGCTGTGCTGTGTGGCAGAGCTGTGACAATCTCGGAACTGAATGGACAGAAATACAAACGTTTTGGCAGATAATACAGGTTTCATATATGTACTTCACTTACTGTATGTATTTAGCTGTTTGCCTAGAGTTCAGCTTTAGGATTTAAACTCCTCTAGCTCCCCTGACATTCAATCGTTCTCTGCAGATTCTTGGGTGGTGAATAGTCCAGTTTCATTCCATCACTGTACATAAAGATTGTATTATTTCTCACAGTACATTCAGGTTTCAGTTTTCACAGTAACAATAATGTGGTTGGTGAACTCGTACGAAATGGCATTGGCATTTCTGTGTGCCTGGGGACAGCTCAATGTCCGAATACTGCTCTATGCATTAGATGTTGGTGCTCTTCACAATCATCGGTGATTACATCACTACACGTGAATGCTTCATGGTGGCCAGCAACAATTATCGCAACAACGTGTAAGTGACAATCCGCTGGCTTTGTCGTCTTACCCCCATCCCCCACACACATTCCAAGTCAATTAAGGATATTACACTTCTAGCTTACCATCATAGTAATATAACAATAAGATTACATTTTTAATTTTGAACAAATGAAGTCTCGCACTTTTTACGGTGGTTGGAGAGGACGCTGTTCTATAATTAGCATATTACATTACATTAGAGAGGCATTGTGTCATTTTAATTTTGCAGAGGAAAACATTTTTAGAAAGCGTTCTCACACTCGGCGCGGTCTGTTTTTCTCCTTGCGGGCAGGATTCATTTCAGTTCCATTGGAATGCAGTTTATAGCTTCTCCTTAAAGAGCTTCAGGCTGGGAAATGTTGAGTGTATCCACATTTGTAAAAATTGATTTTTTTTTTTCCGCCGAAAGATGTTGTGAAAGTTTTTTCTTATTCTCCCCACATGAGCAAGAGTTCTATATGTTTATTAAAAATAAATTTGCTCTCTCTAGGGAGAGCGGAAAGCACTGCTTGGAAGACTTTATAGCTTAACATTTCATCTGTTTTAAAGCTGAGCTCCAGACAGATAAAATTAAACTCCAATGCACCCATTACATCTAATTTAAAGGAAAGTGTCTACATGTGTGCATTTGTTTTATAAGAGCTTTGTATAATGCCGTGCAGTCATAAAGGGTGGGGCATTAGCAGGGGTGGACTGACAACTCATAGGGCCCCCGGGCAATAGGGGATCATGGGGCCCCTGTGTCCTCACCCACACTCAAAAAAGCCTATGAAAGGTACCAGGGGCATCCCATGGGGCCCCCTACTGACCCTGGGCCCTCGGGCAGTGCCGAGTACCAGAATGGTCAGTCCGCCTCTGGGCATTAGGAGCCAACCAGGCTCAGCTTTATTGCTCAGTGCTGTCAGTTTAACACTGGAAGCTTGCTGAAAGGAGGGAAGCAGAGTGGTGACTCATAAGTGTGGTGCTGCTCCTTCAATATCTTGTCAGCACCAAGCTGGACTGGGCTTTTGGTCATCTGACCCCTACCACCATTGAAAGATGTGGCACATTGACAGTAATAAAAACAAAGCAAGACACTTGAGCACTATGCTGTGATGGTGATAATACATTCAATGCTTGAGCCTATCATCACCAAAACGCAACAATCAGCATGAATATGGCTCAAAGGAGAGGACAAAACAGAGACTACGAACTCCCAAAGTTGCGGCTACCTGGGAGACTGAGCTGATTAGGTTCCATTAAGGTGATGGAAAAAAGTACCAAAACGGACATGAGTTTCTAGGGGGAATGAGAGATTTTGTGGGAGTAAGTCAACAAAAGTTGTGTTAGATGTAAAGTTACCATCAGGGCCACCTTTTCCAGGAAATATGGGGGAGTAGAAGAAGGAAATGGGAAGGAATAGGGAGTAGAAGGAGAGAAAAAAAACTGGAGAGGGGGGTGTCCAATGAGAAGAAGGGGGGTCAACCCAACATACTACCAGGAAGTAAGTACTTGTATCTAATGTCTTAGAAATGGCATTAGCTTTGGGGAATCAGAGAATTCTATCCATGGAAACCACAAGTCCCTCCATGCACATGATATAATTTAATTCTGTATCCTATTCACATATAGTAGGTATTGTGGGGGACTTCCAATGTCTAGGAATCGAAGCTCTGCCTGCAATAAACATGTATCTAAAAATTCCCTTTCTAATGTATATGATTGATCCAGGATCATGTAAAGGAGAGCAACTTCTGGTGTCTCTGGCCATGCCTTACCTGTGAGGAGATGACGTAGCTGAAATACAGCTGTCCAGTAGGGTTTGATTTTAGTGCAAGGCCACCATTGATGAAGATGTGCACTACCTGGCTCTCCCACCTCCAACATTTGTCTGGTATAGATGGAATGATCTTATATTTGGGGCCCCTTTCACACAAGGAGGACTCCGCGTGAGGGGATGACAGGCCTGTGTCTGCTCGGTTGATGCAGAGCGGACATGAAACAGCCTGCTCTGCTCTATGGGTGCCCAGGAGTAAATAGGGCACCAGACTGCCTCAAATCAGATCTGCCTAGACTGAGGGGGGTGAATCCACTTCTGGTTTTTTTAACGGGCTAGATCAGATTGGAGGTAGGCGGGTGTAAATAGACACATGTTTGGTTATACCCGCTGGTCAATAAAGTTGAATGGACCGTCCAGTCAGTTCCCTATTAAAAACTGACAGGCAGACCTTATCAGAACAGCCATGTGAAAGGAGACCTAACAAGAAAAATCATTATACTTACCTTTTCCAGATGTTTCATTCTGGTCCAGTGACCTCTTCACCCTCTTGGGAAAATCCTATTTTTGCAGAGAATACAGGTATTAATGTAGACATAACTGTGTTGGGTTCCCTAGAAATATGCACTCACTGGCCTCTTTAGTAGGTATACCTGTTCAATTGCTTGGTAACACTAATTGCTAATCAGCCAATCACATGGCAGCAACTCAATGCATTTAGGCATCTAGACGTGGTGAAGATGACTTGATGTCAGGATCAAACCAAGAATCAGGTTGGGGGAGAAAGGGGATTCAAGTGACTTTAAACATGGTATGGTTGTTGGTGCCAGACGAGCTGATCTGAGTATTTCAAAAACTGATTATCTAAATACAATCATCTCTAGGGTTTACAGAGAATAGTCCAAAAAAGAGAAAATATCCAGTGATCCAGTGAGAAAGTATCCAATCTGCCTTGTATCAACGGTTCAGGAAGCTGGTGGTGGTATATTGGTGTTGGGATAATTATCTTGGCACACTTTGAGCCCCTTAGTACCAACTAAGCATTTACAAATATATGTTGCGCTCCTAAATACTTCTCAATAAATAATTAAATTATTACCATTAAATTAATTCAAATTATGATACAAATAACTAATAAAAGTGTATAAATACCAAAAAATATTTAAATAGATAATTTCAACTAATCAATCTCCTCCAAATAAATATCAAAATAATTCCACATAAAATACTCCTCTGAAAAAATATTTTGCCAAGTGCTCATAAATCATTAGTGGCATGATGTACTTACTAATACCCTCAATTTCATTTATATTCATAATACCCTCATTTAATATAACAAAAATAATAAACCAACTAATAACACTCAACTAAAACGCATTTAAATGATCCCCATAAACAAAAATAACCAAATGCTCATAAATAACTAGTAGTGATTAGTATGAATCCAAACATCATCAAAATAATAGTCCCATTGAATAAACAATTGTTTATATATAGTGACTTGGTGCTTGTTGTTCCTCAATTTGTGACTTTTGTGAATCCTTCAAATAGTGAAGATGTGCGCTCACCTCCTTTGATGCCTGCAATTAGGCTATACACGCTTTCGGTTCACTTTCCCTGGAACCTGCTGGACATACACTTTTGCTGGTAAAATTGGGAGATCCTTCCTTTAGGACTAATGGATGTATCCTCTGGTGGCTGATTATCCCCTCAGGGATTACACACTCCTTTTGTTATCTCAGACCTCTTAATTATCCTCTCCTTGTGTTACTCCGCATGCAGGAAGAAATAGAGGACATAGTGCTTTACCTTTTAAAACTTTTTTATTCCCACCATCCAAGTATTAAACTCACATTAGACACAGTTTAAGTAACGCAATATCCCTTTGGAAATCCTCTGCTGGCCTCTGAGTCATACACCTGCCGTCTATCGTGTTGTGCGGCTCCTCTCCGAGTGATGACGTAGCCCCTCCCCTGTCCTATCACAACCCCCTGATGAAGCCACGTGATTGGAGGCGTAACGCGTAGGGGAGGGGCTACGTCATCACTCGGAGAGGAGCCGCACAACACGATAGACGGCAGGTGTATGACTCAGAGGCCAGCAGAGGATTTCCAATGGGATATTGCGTTATTTAAACTTGTCTAATGTGAGTTTAATACTTGGATGGTGGGAATAAAAAAGTTTTAAAAGGTAAAGCACTATGTCCTCTATTTCTTCCTGCATGCGGAGTAACACAAGGAGAGGATAATTAAGAGGTCTGAGATAACAAAAGGAGTGTGTAATCCCTGAGGGGATAATCAGCCACCAGAGGATACATCCATTACTCCTAAAGGAAGGATCTCCCAATTTTACCAGCAAAAGTATATGTCCAGCAGGTTTCAGGGAAAGTGAACTGAAAGCGTGTATAGCCTAATTGCAGGCATCAAAGGAGGTGAGCGCACATCTTCACTATTTGAAGGATTCACAAAAGTCACAAATTGAGGAACAACAAGCACCAAGTCACTATATACAAACAATTGTTTATTCAATGGGACTATTATTTTGATGATGTTTGGATTCATACTAATCACTACTAGTTATTTATGAGCATTTGGTTATTTTTGTTTATGGGGATCATTTAAATGCGTTTTAGTTGAGTGTTATTAGTTGGTTTATTATTTTTGTTATATTAAATGAGGGTATTATGATTATAAATGAAATTGAGGGTATTCGTAAGTACATCATGTCACTAATGATTTATGAGCACTTGGCAAAATATTTTTTCAGAGGAGTATTTTATGTGGAATTATTTTGATATTTATTTGGAGGAGATTGATTAGTTGAAATTATCTATTTAAATATTTTTTGGTATTTATACACTTTTATTAGTTATTTGTATCATAATTTGAATTAATTTAATGGTAATAATTTAATTATTTATTGAGAAGTATTTAGGAGCGCAACATATATATTTGTAGATATTTCTAACACAGTTGTAGTTATGTGTTTCATGTTTGCGATCCTCTAGTAATTATCACACCTGTGGCTCGCAAGTCACTCTGATTCATCTATACCAACTAAGCATTGTTTAAATGCCAAGGTCTACCTGAGTATTGCTGCTGACTATGTCCATCCCTTTATGACTGTAGTGTCCACATCTTCTGATGGCTAATTCCAGCAGGATAATGCACCATGTCACAAAGCTCAAATCATCTCATATTGGTTTCTTGAACATGACAATGAGTTCACTGTACTCCAATGGCCTCCAAAGTCACCAGATCTCAATCCAATAGAGCACCTTTGGGATGTGGTGGAACTTGAGATTCGCATCATGGACGTGCAGTCGACAAATCTGCAGCAACTGCATGATGCTATCATATCAATATGGACCAAAATCTCTGAAGGATGTTTCCAACAACTTGTTGAATCTATGCCACAAAGAATTAAGGCAGTTCTAAAGGCAAAATGGGGTCCTACCCGGCACTAGCAAGGTGTACCTATAAAAGTGGCCAGTGAGTGTAAATAGCCAGTGGTTCTTCCTAGATAGATCAAACTTAAGCAGCAAATAACATGCACAAATAAATTAGCCAGAGCAGCAACAAATCCATCTTTCTCCCTGTCCCTGACAATGCCTCTGTCAGAGGTTTCAATAAGAGACAGCCTGCCTCAAAGGAAGTATTCACTGCATGGCCATCTCTTTAGAAAACCATAGTGCTCTGGGAATCCTTCATCAGATTTGCCAGTAAATGTTTATTTGAAAAACAATAACTAAACATATTGTAAAAAAGTTTACAAAACAAAACGAAAATCAGTAAAATGGACCCAAAACCCATAATTTTTTTACTTTTAATTACTTACGCATTGGAAGGTGAAGTGGCAGAAATAAAAAAAAAAACAATGCTGCAGCTGTCCCCCATGGACTCTAAGACCAAGAACCCTGTGATTACATGACTGCTGATCGCTCAGTTCTCATCTTAACTGAGCATAGAGTGGAGAGAGTCAATCGTTGCCTTCTGCTCTGCCCCTCCAGCAGAGCAGAAAGGGAGCGGGGGATGACCTGCTCAGGCTCTCAGTGGCACGCTGAGGGCTGTGCCACCTGTCAATCAGGCATCTGGGTGGATCCCAACCTTAAAGTAGGGATTCTTGTAGAGCCTGCACTGGCTCTGTGATGTCAGCCCACAGAATGCTTTAGCCCACTATTGCCTGAATCTGGGTCACAGGAGTGCAGAAATAACTGCATTCCTGTGACCCAGAAGAGAAGTATGGCCAAAAAAGCTTTGGCTATACTTCTCTTTCTATTAAGTATTTTTACTTACTTA